TGTTGTACTTGTGGAAGTGCTTTCCGGTGTTATGGTACCTGTGGTGGTGCTTTCTGATGTTGTAGTGTCTGTTGTGGTCTCGGTTGTTGTGCTTTCTGAAGTTGTAATACCAGTGGTGGTACTTTCTGTTTTAGTGCTCTCTGTTGTTGTGGTCTCTGTTGTCATACGTTCTGAAGTGGTGGTGCCAGTGGTTGTACTTTCTGTCATTGTGGTGCTTTCTGGAGATGTGGTACTTGTTGTGGTGGTGCTTTCTGTTGTCGTGCTTTCTGTTGTTGTGGTCTCTGTTGTCATAATTTCTGGAGTGGTGGTGCCAGTGGTTGTACTTTCTGTCACTGTGGTGCTTTCTGGAGTAGTGGTCTCGGAAGTTGAGCTTTCAGGTGTTGTGGTACCTTTGGTGGTGCTTTCTGTTGTTTTAGTGTCTGTTGTCGTGCTTTCTGTAGTCGTGGTTTCCATCGTAGTAATTTCTGAAGTTGTAATAGCAGTGGTAGTACTTTCTGTTGTAGTGCTTTCTGTTGTTGTGGTCTCTGTTGTCATAATTTCTGGAGTGGTGGTGCCAGTGGTTGTACTTTCTGTCACTGTGGTGCTTTCTGGAGTAGTGGTCTCGGAAGTTGAGCTTTCAGGTGTTGTGGTACCTTTGGTGGTGCTTTCTGTTGTTTTAGTGTCTGTTGTCGTGCTTTCTGTAGTCGTGGTTTCCATCGTAGTAATTTCTGAAGTTGTAATAGCAGTGGTAGTACTTTCTGTTGTAGTGCTTTCTGTTGTTGTGGTCTCTGTTGTTGTCCTTTCTGGTGTTGTGGTACCTGTGGTGGTGCTTTCTGGTGTTGTGGTAGCTGTGGGGGTGCTTTCTATAGTTGTTGTTTCGATTGTTGTGCTTTCTGAAGTTGTAATAACAGGCGTAGTACTTTCTGGAGTTGTGGTGCCTTCTGTTGTTGTGATCTCAGTTGTGGTGCCTGTGGTGGTACTTTCTATTGTTGTGGTCTCCGTTGTTGTGCCGGGGGTGGTACTTTCTGTTGTTGTGATCTCCAATGTTGTACTTTCTGGAGTGGTGGGGCCAGTGGTTGTACTTTCTGTCATTGTAGTGCCTTCTGTTGTTGTGGTCTCCGTTTTGGTGCTTTCTGTTATTATATAATAGCAAATCATTAATCAAACTTTGTTTATCACTTTTAATAATAAATCCATCTCAAAGTGCTTAACAAGAAAAATACCTACAAACAAAATAAAAAAATTTACACTGCAACTTCACACAACAATGGTATCAGTTGTTGTGGTATCGCAGCAACTGGTATCAGTATACAAAAAATATTTTAAAAATACTTTTATTGTGTTTTGAAAAATTGAAAGATTGAAGACTAATTTAAATTGGTTGACAGTTCCAAATTTTGGGGGTATAGTGGCTAAAAAAAAGCACCACAGATTCACTTAGGATTTATTGCATAGTTTTCCAAAAGACCAGCACTAGAACATTTTAAATTATGACTTGGAACATAATAACATGAAAATCAATCCTTTCTTGAACTGGCAACCAGAGTAATTGTATTAAAACTACTAATATGGTCTCTCCTTCTTGATTTAATCAGTACTTTGCCCGCTGCGTTTTGTATCAATTGTAGCTAAGCTATGGTACATTATACATAGCATTACAGTAATCATGATGAGCAAAAATAATAAGTAAAGTTTTTGTCACTTTATTAATATGAGATTTAAAACTCAAATCTTAGTCCATAATCACACCTAGGTTCTTTACTTTTATCTTAGTTTTTAGAATAAAGGTGCATAATCCAGCTTCTATCCTTCCTCTTACATGCTCAGCGCCCTCAATAAGAGTTTCAGTTTTATCTTCAAGCAACAGTGTCTCTGAAATCAGCTGAAATTTATAATTGTATATCATCTGCATAAAATTGCTAATGCATCCCATGTTTCTGAGTTATACTGACCAGAAGTATAATGTATAATGATAATAAATGTAGCCTAATAATTTAATCTTTAGGAACACCATATAGTATTTCATATTTATTTGATACATAGTCACCTATGTTAATAAATAATTACCTTTCTGCAATATATGTCTTTAACCAATTTAGAAGTTTAACCGATTAAGACTGATACATTGTTCATATTGTTTTTTTACCTCAAATTATTTACTACTTTAAATTTTTTTTCTTACTTAAAAATGATATGTTAGAAATTGGTCTCAGAATATTACAGAGAAAACAATGCAGAATATTACCGGAGAGACCAATTTCCAGTCAATTAAGCAAAATTAAATGATCATGTGTTAAATTCTTCACTTAGGTCAAAGGGGATTAAGACATGCATTGTTCATATTTTGTTTTATTTCAAATTTTTTACTACATTATATTTTACATTTAATTAACTATATTAATTAAAGACATAGTCATTTAAACAACATACTTAAGGTATAGGGTCAAAATAGGAATATCACTGCGAAACTGTTTGCAAAAGTTTCTGTTCATTAGCTCTCCTGAACACTTCTATTTTACGCTGTGGATATATGATTCTTCTTGATTCTACTATAGAAATTGTATCAGTATAATGTACAGAAGACTCGATTTGTTTTATTATTATTATTCTTTATTTTTATTCAATATGCAGCAAAATGTTCACACATGGTTACAGAAGGATGATTTAACAAATTATGAGATTTGTTATTTAAAATAGCATAAATAGTTGAAAAAAGCACTCTGGGATTATTATTATTTCCACTAATACATTATTTATTTATTTATTTTAAAAACAAAATTGTGTTTTAGAGTGCACTGTTTTTTATATATACCTGAATGTTATTTATTAGAATGTCACGATGACCTAACATGTGCGTTTATTCCTTAACAGCAATTTATTAAATATGGATCTTATTTTAAATTTCTCTCAAGCCATTTTATACAGAAAATGTTTTTAAAAGATTTTAAAACTATAAACCTTTTGTAGAAATTTCTGTTGTTGTCTCAGTTGTTGTGCTTTCTGTTGTTGTAGTGCTTTCTCTAGTTGTGGTTTCCATTGTTGTACTTTCTGAAGTTGAAATACCAGTGGTGGTACTTTCTGTTGTTGTGATACCTGTGGTGGTGCTTTCTGCTGTTGTAGTGTCTGTTGTGGTTTCCATTGTTGTACTTTCTGAAGTTGTGATACCAGGGGTAGTACTTTCAGGATTAGTGCTTTCTGTTGTTGTGGTCTCGGTTGTTGTGCTTTCTGGTGTTGTGGTACCTGTGGTGGTACTTTCTGTTGTTGTGATACCTGTGGTGGTGCTTTCTGCTGTTGTAGTGTCTGTTGTGGTTTCCATTGTTGTACTTTCTGAAGTTGAAATACCAGTGGTGGTACTTTCTGTTGTGGTGCTTTCTGTTGTTGTGGTCTGTGTTGTGATCTCGGTTGTTGTGCTTACCGGTGTTGTGGTACCTGTAGTGGTGCTTTCTGGTGTTCTGGTACCTGTGGTCGTGCTTTCTGTTGTTGTAGTGTCTGTTGTGGTGCTTTCTATGGTTGAGATTTCCATTGTTGTACTTTCTAAAGTTGTTATACCAGGGGTGATACTTTCTGTTGTAGTGCTTTCTGTTGTTGTGGTCTCGGTCGTTGTGCTTTCTGGTGTTGTTGTACTTGTGGTGGTGCTTTCCGGTGTTGTGGTACCTGTAGTGGTGCTTTCTGGTGTTGTAGTGTCTGTTGTGGTCTCGGTTGTTGTGCTTTCTGGTGTTGTGGTACCTGTAGTGGTGCTTTCTGGTGTTGTAGTGTCTGTTGTGGTCTCGGTTGTGGTTTGTTCTGTTGTTGTAGTCTCGGATATTGTGCTTTCTGGTGTTGTGGTACCTGTGGTGGTACTTTCTGTTGTAGTGTTTTCTGTTGTTGTGGTCTCTGTTGTCGTAATTTCTGGAGTGGTTGTACCAGAGGTTGTACTTTCTGACACTGTGGTGCTTTCTGGAGTTGTGGTACCGGTTGTGGTGCTTTCTGTTGTTGTCGTCTCTGTTGTGGTCTTCGTTGTTGGGCTTTCTGGTGTTGTAGTGTCTGTTGTGGTCTCGGTTGTGGTTTGTTCTGTTGTTGTAGTCTCGGATATTGTGCTTTCTGGTGTTGTGGTACCTGTGGTGGTACTTTCTGTTGTAGTGTTTTCTGTTGTTGTGGTCTCTGTTGTCGTAATTTCTGGAGTGGTTGTACCAGAGGTTGTACTTTCTGACACTGTGGTGCTTTCTGGAGTTGTGGTACCGGTTGTGGTGCTTTCTGTTGTTGTCGTCTCTGTTGTGGTCTTCGTTGTTGGGCTTTCTGGTGTTGTAGTACCTGTGGTGGTACTTTCTGTTGTTGTAGTGTCTGTTGTCGAGCTTTCTGTAGTCGTGGTTTCCATTGTTGTAATTTCTGAAGTTGTAATACCAGTGGTGGTACGTTCTGTTGTTGTGGTCTTCGTCGTTGTGCTTTCTGGTGCTGTGGTGGTGCTTTCTATAGTTGTGGTTTTGATTGTTGTGCTGTCTGAAGTTGTAATAACAGGCGTAGTACTTTCTGGAGTTGTGGTGCCTTCTGTTGTTGTGATCTCAGTTGTGGTGCCTGTGGTGGTACTATCTATTGTTGTGGTCTCCGTTGTTGTGCCGGGGGTGGTACTTTCTGTTGTTGTGATCTCCATTGTTGTACTTTCTGGAGTGGTGGGGCCAGTGGTTGTACTTTCTGTCATTGTAGTGCCTTCTGTTGTTGTGGTCTCCGTTGTGGTGCTTTCTGTTATTATATAATAGCAAATCATTAATCAAACTTTGTTTATCACTTTTAATAATAAATCCATCTCAAAGTGCTTAACAAGAAAAATACCTACAAACAAAATAAAAAATGTTCCACATTTACACTGCAACTTCACACAACAATGGTATCAGTTGTTGTGGTATCACAACAACTGGTATCAGTATACAAAAAATATTTTAAAAAGACTTTTCTTGTGTTTTGAAAATCTGAAAGATTGAAGACTAATTTAAATTGGTTGACAGTTCCAAATTTTGGGGGTATAGTGGCTAAAAAAAAGCACCACAGATTCACTTAGGATTTATTGCATAGTTTTTCAAAAGACCAGCACTAGAACATTTTAAATTATGACTTGGAACATAATAAAATGAAAATCAATCCTTTCTAGAACTGGCAACCAGTGTAATTGTATTAAAACTATTAATATGGTCTCTCCTTCTTGATTTAATCAGTACTTTGCCCGCTGCATTTTGTATCAATTGTAGCTAAGCTATGGTACATTATACATAGCATTACAGTAATCATGATGAGCAAAAATAATAAGTAAAGTTTTTGTCACTTTATTAATATGAGATTTAAAACTCAAATCTTAGTCCATAATCATACCTAGGTTCTTTACTTTTATCTTAGTTTTTAGAATAAAGGTGCATAATCCAGCTTCTATCCTTCCTCTTACATGCTCAGCGCTCTCAATAAGAGTTTCAGTTTTATCTTCAAGCAACAGTGTCTCTGAAATCAGCTGAAATTTATAATTGTATATCATCTGCATAAAATTGCTATTGCATGCCATGTTTCTGAGTTATACTGGCCAGAAGTATAATGTATAATGATAATAAATGTAGCCTAAGAATTTAATCTTCATGAACACCATATAGTATTTAATATTTATTTGATACACAGTCACCTATTTTAATAAATTATTACCTTTCTGCAATATATCTCTTGAACCAATTTAGAGGTTTAACCGATTAGGACTGATGCACTGTTCATATTGTTTTTACCTCAAATTATTTACTACTTTAAATTTGTTTACTTACTTAAAAATGATATGTTAGAAATTGGTCTCAGAATATTACAGAGAAAACAATGCAGAATATTACCGGAGAGACCAATTTCCAGTCAATTAAGCAAAATTAAATGATCATGTGTTAAATTCTTCACTTAGGTCAAAGGGGATTAAGACATGCATTGTTCATATTTTGTTTTATTTCAAATGATTTACTACATTATATTTTACATTTAATTAACTATATTAATTAAAGACATAGTCATTTAAACAACATACTTAAGGTATAGGGTCAAAATAGGAATATCACTGCGAAACTGTTTGCAAAAGTTTCTGTTCATTAGCTCTCCTGAACACTTCTATTTTACGCTGTGGATATATGATTCTTCTTGATTCTACTATAGAAATTGTATTGCTGTTGTAGTGTCTGTTGTGGTTTCCATTGTTGTACTTTCAGAAGTTGAAATGCCAGTGGTGGTACTTTCTGTTGTAGTGCTTTCTGTTGTTGTGGTCTCTATTGTTGTTCTTTCTGGAGTGGTTGTGCCAGTGATTATACTCTCTGTCACTGTGGTGCTTTCCGGTGTTGTGGTACCCGTTGTGTTGCTTTCTGTTGTTGTGGTCTGTGTTGTGGTCTCGGTTGTTGTGCTTTCCGGTGTTGTGGTACCTGTGGTCATGCTTTCTGTTGTTGTAGTGTCTATTGTGGTGCTTTCTATAGTTGAGATTTCCATTGTTGTACTTTCTAAAGTTGTTATACCAGGGGTGGTACTTTCTGTTGTAGTGCTTTCTGTTGTTGTGGTCTGTGTTGTGGTCTCGGTTGTTGTGCTTTCCGGTGTTGTGGTACCTGTAGTGGTGCTTTCTGGTGTTGTAGTGTCTGTTGTGGTCTCGGTTGTTGTGCTTTCCGGTGTTGTGGTACCTGTAGTGGTGCTTTCTGGTGTTGTAGTGTCTGTTGTGGTCTCGGTTGTTGTGCTTTCCGGTGTTGTGGTACCTGTAGTGGTGCTTTCTGGTGTTGTAGTGTCTGTTGTGGTCTCGGTTGTTGTGCTTTCCGGTGTTGTGGTACCTGTGGTGGTGCTTTCTGTTGTAGTGCTTTCTGTTGTTGTTGTCTCTGTTGTCATCCTTTCTGAAGTGGTGGTGCCAGTGGTTGTACTTTCTGTCATTGTCGTGCTTTCTGGAGTTGTGGTACCGGTTGTGGTACTTTCTGTTGTTATGGTACCTGTGGTGGTGATTTCTGTTGTTGTAGTGTCTTTTGTGGTTTCTATTGTTGTATGTTCTGAAGTTGTAATACCAGTGGTGGTACTTTCTGTTGTAGTGCTTTCTGTTGTTGTGGTCTCGGTCGTTGTGCTTTCTGGTGTTGTTGTACTTGTGGTGGTGCTTTCCGGTGTTGTGGTACCTGTAGTGGTGCTTTCTGGTGTTGTAGTGTCTGTTGTGGTCTCGGTTGTTGTGCTTTCTGGTGTTGTGTTACCTGTAGTGGTGCTTTCTTGTGTTGTAGTGTCTGTTGTGGTGCTTTCTATAGTTGTGATGTCCATTGTTGTACTTTCTGAAGTTGTAATAGCAGGGGTGGTACTTTCTGTTGTAGTGCTTTCTGTTGTTGT